TACACTCGAAACTGCACAATCGCTAGCCGCTAGATACTTCCGCCTATGCGCCATTCTACGGCAAACCCTAAACCCTAAACCCCTTAATAATAACCCTTAAACGCCGAGGAGCCAGAGGCAATTCACAGGCCCAGCGCTCGTGACGGAGGAGCTGCATGCGGGCAGAGCCTAGGGACTTCACATGGGAGTTTCCGAAGATAAGGGGGTACCTTATTTTGGGGGTCCTTATAAGGATCCTACGATTTAGGGTACTATATTAGGGTCCCCTATTTTCGGAAACCACCCACATGTGGTTTAAAGATGCTGATAGGGCCTTGATAGGGCCGTAAGCCCTGAGACGAAGAAGCGATCATGCCCCCTCCAGTAGGAATGCTCTATTACGCTTAAATCCAAGTGATGTATATGAATCAGAAGTAGTAAAAGTAGTAAATGTAAAAAAGTATATCTACAGGCAAGGCGTGGAGACAGTGCTTCAAGTAGAGAAGGACAAGAAGAAGGATGGCCCGCAGGTTTAACATTGATTTTCGTTTCTAGGAAGGAGTTTGCCCGAAGCTTCCCGGTCTGGTAGTTGAAGAGAAGATGCTGGCAAGCCGGAAACTTGATCCCTAAATCCCATACCATAAACGCCCTCTGAAACGCTCTCAACAAGCCTATAGAACCCCAAACACAAAGCCCAACAAGATGCTTTCTCATTCAACCGAGAACACTAACTCAGTAAAGGAAGCCAGGGTGGGCCGTGGCAACCCTATAGATCCAAAACTCTTCTCGCCAACATACTACATGCCCACAGTGAGTGCAGGTCAATTACGACCAGCTGTCAGCAATTACAAGCCTCGAGCCCCAAATCGCCTGGTCCTTCGAGGGAACTCCTTCATCCTAAGTCCTCAGCTGTCCTCAACCGGCCGCACGGCCGGGTCCCCCAGGGGATGTCACGGCAGAAACATCCGAACTCTGCATCGGAACATCTACTGATCTAATGCTCAAGCTCGTTAGCTAGCTTCTTGAAGCCCTGGACCCCAATCCCCTCGCAGTCTAGGAACTCTCACCACAAGCCCGAGAAGCCCAGCCCTAAACCCCAAACCATCAAGCGTTAAAGCCATGGGGGATGTCGCTCCCAGCAAGTGGTTCGGCAAAGATGTGCGCGGCGTTGTTGGCGATAGCCCTGGGGCGCCTCGGTTTGACGAGGACTTCCGAGCTTTCAGGTTTTAGACGAAGGCAGGGTTCAAAGACGGTCTTGGAGCCCAAAATCCCTATTGGTACTCGAAGCTCCAAGTCCTTGGGCTGTAGAAGGGTGTTTCCTAGTATATTTCATAGCCTCCTGCTCAAACTATAGTAAACAGTCCATGTACTGTGAGGATAATTGAAGCCCAGCCTCTGAAACCGAGAAGACCGAGACTCTGGTTATGGAGCGATATCCCATTCCTATTGCTACAATCTAGAAGAATTCCCCTCAAGCCTTAGTCTCGTTGCTAAGGCTCCTTTTGTTAACCTTCTTCCTCTTGACTCCTGAACCCCAACAGAGACCCTTTGTTTCCCCTGAAGTCGAGAGGACCTCCGGCTGGTGATGGAACCACACCTCGCCAAAGCTCGGGAGAAACTTGTACTGGTGTGTGTCTTATACTTACGTAGAGGTTTAGAGGGCTTGTGGGTTTTAAGTTTAAGATGGTTTACGGTGTTGGTTGTCTACCTGCGCTTTAAGTGTAGGTGTTGCGGTTCGAGTGTGTGTGTGTGTGTGTTTTAAATGTTCTTGTGGTTTCGCAGAAGCAGACCCTCCGTCGTCTTTGTTGTTGTTACCTTTTGTGCATATTGCGGGATCCCAGCCATGAAGCCAGTCAATCAAAGACAGAACCAGGCCACGGCTTCTGGAGTTGGGGTTTCGAGTTGTTGGGTTGGGGCTTCGAGCCTGTCGTTAGACATCAGTTAGCTCGGCTACTAAGGAAGAGAGAAGAGGCGAGTAAGGCAGGCAAGCCGGTCACCCTGGCGCCCGCGCCTTATGTGGCCCTGCGCGATGAGCGCCCGTTTACTTTCGACCCGTGCACATACCCTTTGCATTCGGTGCTTGCTGAAGCTTTGGGAGTTGGATCCCTTGCAGACGTGCACAAGTATCAGTGCAGGAGCAAGCAAGAGCTTCTGAGCCCGCTGTTGGATCGCGGCAAGCGACTGCGATTCCACGAGTTGTACGACGTGTTCGTCACTTCTTTTTGCATTCCGATGCTCCATTCTCTAGCATTGAAGATGAAGATCCTGAACACAACCTCTGACGCAATCTATCGTTACCAAGCATTTCCTTGCCTCCGTGTGGTTCGACCCGGCGAGTTCTCCATTGGGCCGCACTGCGACACAGCCTACGGCCACAGCATGGGCAATCTGAACTTCCACGTTCCTCTCACACCGGTGCTAGGAGCGGAGGGTGCTAAATGAGGTGATCATTTATCCACCCGCTTGTCAATTAAGATTCGCTGTTGTTGAGTGCCGAGTGCTCGGATAAAAGCCCCAAGGTGCCAACGCTCTGTTTGTGGAGTCTCGCCCAGGGGCCGAAGATTGGCATCCTTTGACAGCAGCTTGTTCTATCTAAGACTGCGTTCTTGCTGTGTGTGGGGAAGGGGTTCTTAAACTTTGAAGCTGAATGGAATGAGTGCACTCTAAACTTTTTGGGATAAGATGACCCCTTATATATAGAACTGAACGTGTACGCATGTTTTGTGCGTATGAACTCAGCAGCTAAGTAAACCAGGTGAGGGATACTTTCTTTCGGTGTCCCTATAAACAACCACTTAGGAGCCCAATGGACCTCTTGCTTTGCGAGGTTTTTCTGCCTGTTTTTGGGGTGTAAGGCGGTCAGGGCCCTAATTCTTAAGCCTTAAGCTCAAAGACGTACCCGAGCCTTCGAAGAAAGGAGCCCGCGAACCCAAATCCAAAACCCCAAAACCCCATAGACCCAAAATCCGCCAACCCCCACCTCTAAAAACTCTGAAACCCTACAAAACCGAGACCCTAAAACGAAAAAGCTCCAAAAACCCTGAATCCCAAAATCCTAAACCCTAAACCCCGATGCCTAACACCCTTCTTAAAGCCCCACAACCCGAAGAGACCAACCTCTTGGCCTTCTCCTGGTCTGCATGAGCTGGCAGCCTCAAATCTCGGGCTCCTCTTGAACTCTCTTGTGGATAGAGTTTTGCAGGGGGCCTTAACAATTAGAATAGGGCTCGGTGCATATTATAGCATACTTAAACGCATGGTATTACCCGTAGGAATGATGTACTAGTAGTAACTGTAGCTTTCAAGCCCCTGTAGTAGTGGCTTCGCCTTCTTGTTGTATCACACGTTCTTTGTGGGTGGAAAACGAGAGAATGAAGCACAGGCTCTTCCACAACCGATGAAATGGGTCCGCCGTGGCTTGGGTGCTGGGGGTTTAAGACCTTCTCCGGAGTGACGGAGTCCCCCACCACCCCAGAAGCCCCCAAAAGGCGCCAACATATCTCCTCACAGAACCATCACTGGGGCCCCCAAGCCTCGAAGCAGGGTCCACCTCTAACAGCCAAATCTTTCAGGCGAAGCATCCGGGTCATGGCTTCATGTTCGATGGCGCACGCTGCATACACTTCACCCTGGAGAACACTACGGACACCACGCGCGTGTCTGGGCTTTCAGGCGTAAAGACTTCAGGAGCATAGGGTTTTCATGATTCAGAGTTTGAAGCCTGGCAGGCTCAAGTCATGACACACCGAACTCTTTTCGATGTGGTTTGCCTCTTTTGCGGTGCGCTTGGTTCTTGATTTTGCTTGCTTACGGGTCTCGTGCATTGGCGGAGTGTCAGCTGCCTGGTGGGATGTTAACTGATACCTTGGAAGCTCAAAAAACCCTCGCTGCCCTCAACCATTAAGCCATTAAGCCTGACACCCTAAACCCTGAAGTCCGAGAGTGAGGGCTGAAGCCCTGAAGACTCGGCAGGTATCCCTTGACTTCCGCATCGCTCTCTTCCAGGAGGGTGCCGAGGCACCGTGCACCAAGGACCAACTCGCCGATAGCTTTTGCACCGGCAGCTGCAGCTACTACGACGAGGATCCGGGACGAAAAACCTGAAGTCGACTCCTAAGCCCAGACCTTAAACCCCAAACCTGCAAACTTGTATATGGGGCCCCCTGAAACTCTACCCTAAGCACCCTGAGTACTTTTGTTGACGTATATGAAGAACCCTTAACAGGACCCTGGAAGACAAACCTTTCGAAGCTTTTCCTGAGGCAGTTGTTTCCATGGACCCGGGACCCGCCAACGTGACGAAGAAAGCAAAGGAACGCGCTGAGCCAGACTGGCGAGTGGGCCTTCCCTTCAGCAAGCGGCACTAGCGGGTGGCCGGTGGGGGGGGGGGGTTGGATAGGGCTTGTGCTACGTAGATCTTTGTAGGGCTTCCTTAAGTAGACATGGTTCATATCTTGAGTTCATTCAAACATTGACTTCATGTTGGAGCTTGTAGTAAAAAAAAATTCGTGGGTGAGTTCGGTTTTAAATTACAGAGACCAAGAGTCCCCACCTTTTCAATATATCTAATTGGCATGGCCAAGTGCCCTCTGCCCAAGTATAGGTTCGTGTTGAATAAGTGTCGTCCTATACCCCGAAACCCTGTTCTAATCCAGAACCCGAGATTCTGCCCACAGCTGCCGTTTTTCGACGGCAGAGCTGTCCATAGATCGGATGCGATGCGCAGACGTCAGAGAAAAGAGAGGCGGTTAAGAAATTCGGGCTTCGGGTTATAAGGCTTTGAAACATACCCAAAACCCTAGAATCGGTTCATTGGAGGTTCAGAGTTTATAATAGGGCCCATAAGACCCTATCGGGACTTTGTGGGTTCGGGATCTGCGGCTTCGGATTCTTTTTGGGTTTGGCAGCGGAGGCTTGAACACTACATTCCCCGGCCCCAGTTGTCCAGAAGTCTTGGTTGGGGCATGGTGTGCCATGGTTTGAGAAACCTTAATCCTCAGGCTTCTGCGCCGCCAAACCGAATCTCACCGATCCTAGAATCAGTTAAAAAGCCCAGCCCAAATTTGGGCTCGTAAGGATATAGGGCGTACTTGCAGCACCCCGCACTGTTCTACTTTGTTGAGGCATCTTTTTCCTTGCAGTCAGAAAGGCCAACTTAAAAGTTGCTGGCTGTAATTGCAGGGAGGTTTCCAGTCTCAGAAAGGCGCTGGGAGTTTCAAGCTCCGATCAAAAGACCCGGAATTTTCCGGGTTTCTGCTGCAGAGACGAGTGCACGATCCTAACGCTCCGAAGGCTCAGGGGCCTCAGGGGCCCAAGCTTAGTAAGTTAAAGATCCAACCCTTCAGGGGCCCTATAGTCTTCTAGAAGCCCCAAACCCTCTTGCCCAAAAAAATTAAGCCGTCAAACCCTAAACCCGAAACCCAAGACTGTCACACTCCACAGCCTCAAACCTTAATCCGTAGAGTGGAGAGGATCCGGGGGTTCTTCTCTACTACCTCAGCATGGAGGTGCATGCAAAGGACCACTTCCGAGCTTCCTGGGCTTTTCGGTGTCAGTTTCCGCGTAGATCTATATGAACTGTCGTAGACGCATAGCCTACCTTTTGGAAGGGCCTTGTTTCAGCGTCAGGAGGCCAAACTAATGCCTGGGGTCTGTATAGGGTTTGCTGTCAGCCCGATGTCCAACAAGATGCCTAGAAATCTTGCAATCCACGCAGAGACGCAGGCTTGATTGAGCATATGCAGCCATGGTACTAGTAGTATAGACTAAAACTGCCGGACAAGGATCATGTCACCCACACGGCGAAACCGACCATATTCTGCGATTCGGCAGGGGCATCGCCCGACTAATCCAAATCAATCACGGCAGTTCTAAAATTAATTTTATCCCCGAGCTAGTTTCATTGAGTGCCTTGATCCTTCAAGCAAAACTATTAGGTGCACTCCCAATTGATGGCGGCCCCTGGTTCGTCTCGAGTTCCTGACTGAGCGAGGAAGACGAAACTCCTAAGCCCAGAAGTCAACAGCAACGTTCTAAGCCGAGACCCACGAAGTATCCCAAGACCGGAACACCAAGCCCCCAACGCTCGAGACCCTTAAACTTGGTGCCCCGAGGATTCTATGAAACCCTGACACCCTCGAATCAAATTCGCTAAACCCCACCCTCGAAACTACTACAGGCAGCGCAGCTCTGGGACCCTAATATAGATCCAGGACCATCCGGACAATCCGATGCCCTATGCTCGTACCAGTGCAGCAGAGTTAGGTGAACTGGGGTTCCAGACCGTTCGAACAAGGCACCGGTTGCAATCCGATCCCTAAGCTTTATTTACAGTCCGAAGAACGGCACGTCCACCCTCCTGCTCGTGGGAGTCCCAGCCGAGCTCCAAATCGTGAACCTCACATGACCCTGGCCCAAGGCCCTGAGCTCAAAACCGTAGGCCTCATAGATCCAAAGCCCGGATCACGAGTTAATAAACCCAGAACTCTGAATTCTAGACTTGTCAGGGTGCCCGTCATACACCGGAAATTGAAAGCCAAGCCTACATCCGTGAAAGCAGCTGCCATACGATCCCGGGGGTGGAGTTTGGAGCTTTCGGTCAGGGCTAAAAGGCATTCCGGGATTTCGACTTTAGCGTGTAAGGCTGGATTCATCCCGGTAGTTCTGCTGCAATGCACCTCACCTGTGGCTGCCAACCTGCCATTCTCCCAGGTACTGCCTCAAGGACCAAAGAAACCCACACTATGTAAGCACCGAGCGGTCAAAGTCCCACGCAAGAGCATTCCTTGAGTAGCCTGAGGGAGCATCTGAAAGACCCGGATGCGAATGATCTAGAACCGTTTAGTTTTTAGGATTGGTGTTGGTATTGGGTTTTTGATTATACAATTCAGGTTGAGGGGTTAAGAGCTTGCAGTTTTCATTCTGCCGCGTAGGGGTACCTGATCCAGGTCCAACCCAGTGTGCCTTGGACTGGGTCATCGGCCGGGAGCCGGAAAGCGAGCTTCGCGTCTTCCAAACCTTGAACGAAGCTTTTGCCGTCTCGGACCCCTATCCAGGATCGTTTGGCGCTTGGGGATTAGAGCTTTACGGTTTACGTTTCCGATGCCTGGGAGACGGGGAGAGAGGCTTAATGTAGAGTTGGGGTTTAGGCTAGGACCGCTTAGAGTTAAAGGTTAGGGTTCAGGCTGTTCCAGGGATTGCTATGTCTGGGATTCCTTCGATCGAAATCTCTCTGCAGATCACAGTATGATATCTAAAGACCCGCTGTCTAGTAGGGCCTCTTTGCCAACCCTGAGATAGAGTTTAGGTACGGCGCGCTAGTGTCGAACCGGCAAACCAACTGTGAATGTTCTTCGAAAGCCGTCGACACCCCAAACCCCAGAACCGAAAGCCTCCGATAAAATCCAAAACCCTAGGCTACATCCCTAAACCCTGTGACCCCAACCCCACAGATCAAAACCGTCAAAAACTGAACCACAGAAAGGCAAGCCGGCAAGCCGACAAGCAAACCAGCAAGCAACATGACAGTGGAACGAACAGGCAAAACTCATAAGGTGCAATAATGGCTGAAGTGAATCAAGACCTGTCCATGGAAAGCATCCGAAAACCTGAACCGCGTCCGCCTGCAGTCACAAGCTGTAGCACGAAAGTTAGTTATATGTGTGTACATATAAATATATGCATATATATATATGTATGTATGTATGTATGTACATATATATATATATACATATGATAATACAATATTATACTAATATGCATATAACTATATGTATACATATATATACACACATCTACACATTACATACACTCCACACCAAATTCCCTGAAAGGAGGCATGCAGGGCCTAGGGGGCCTGATCGCTTTCGAGGCACGCGTTTGATTTCGCGCCGATTTAGGGTGACTTGTTCAGGACTATAGATGCAATGAGGGTTAGATGTAATTAGGCGATCTTATTTGTCTCATTTCTGGGGAGGTCAGGCTGTGAGGGTTTAGGGAAGTGCTGATGATGAGTTCTTGTCATTGTTAATTTCGGGTTTCCGGCTAATGTTGTCGGTCGTTGCGTGCAGCAGCTCTGGCGGGTTGCGCGTGTTTCCGATTTAGATTAATTGGGTTAGGACACCGTTCGGACCATGAGAAAGACTGCAGTGTCCCTGCACTTGATTGTTTCCAAACATCTCGAACAGCCTCTTCTAAGGGTTGTTTCGAAAAAGAGGCTCCGAGCCACTTCGCGCAACACCCCAAACAACCACACACACACACACAAAAAAAAAAGCAATAGCAAAAAGACAGCATGCATACAAAATAATGCCAGAAACTGAACCCAAGAGGGTCTCCATGGAGATAGGCAGTTTAGGCGAGGGATGTTACGCCGCGCCTTGGCCAGGAGACGACGCCCGAGGCTTCCCCGGCGGGCAACGAGAATGCAATTCCTGCCCAGGTCAACCTTGGAACCGGGGCGGGGGGGCTCTGTGTGTGTAACAGTGTAATATAGCGGTATAACACTTTCCCCTTCTCGTCTCTCTTTTGTAATTTTAGCATAGTATGCCCCAACCGCCAGCCACTCCTTGTTGCCTACATGAAAATGGAGACGTTGAGCAGATAGTCTGGGATTGTTCCAGATTCAGCATAATGGGTGACGATATTGGGATCCCGCACTGTTGAATAAGCAGTACAGGCCTGCATGTGCTAAGCATGCTTCTGTCTTTCCTGACGACATGGATGCTTTTGTTAAGCAGAAATGGCACTTTGTTCAAACCCATATATTTCGCAATTACTGTCACAATGGATGGAACTCAATCGCCATCCTGAGCTCTATGAATAGTTTGCTCCGGGATCCTCTCTCCCTCTTGACGATCCTTCTCTTGTCCAAAATGCCATTGCTCGGGAGTGTGAGCCGCTGCCGCTTGATTGGAGGCCCCCTGCTATAGTCGCACTGCCATCAACCAATGGGGGCAGTGCCTTAACTGACTACATCCTCATATTCCAGTTCTGTCCCGATGCACAAGCCACTAGGATCCGAACTTGGTCCCATGCTCTGGCAATGTTCACACAAAATGGTGGTGATCTATCCTCGTTCCTTGATGAATGTCAGTTTATTGGTATGGTAACCTGCATGGTTCGACTCTTGCCACGCAGCCTTCTTAAAGATCATGAGAGCTGGGATGCCGATTCAGCATGACACTGTAGAAAAACTCAGATGGCTATCCACTTTTCCGAAAGAAAGCACGTTTCCGTCTAATGTTTTCTACTCCCCAGTGGAATCTTGATGATGCAGTGAGTTAGAGTGTATCTTCATTGAGCACAAAATTCAGAACAAGTCAACACACATGTGCTGCGCATTACTCCCGCAAACTTCTGTGCGGGCTTGACTGATTAACAGCCAATTTTTCGAACCGACATGATCAGCAAAAGCTGGGCTTTACCGGGCTTGTCTGCTGAACGCAAACTTCCGCCTGGCGTTGCTCTAGCCAGTGACTTGAAAGCCAACCGACCCCGCTTGACATCAAAGTTAAATGTACTACTCAGCTGCCGCTTGACACGTGGAGTAAACGTACACCTGATGAAATGCGAGCTAGATTACCAGCCAGACCTGGCCCACGAAAGAACCGTCACGCGCACCCACTTGATTAGGGCTGCAGTTTTCAACTGCACGGACAAATCTGAGCCGAATATTTTTACCGAAATGTCGTTTGAAGCTTTTGACGCTTGAATTTCCGACTTTGATCCGATTATCGAAGTCGTCAGGGATATTTTTTCTACACGAAAATTTTCTAACACGGATACGGCATGAAAATCACAGCAAAGAACGGATATCGGCTTCGGTGCTCAGCAGGGGCAGCTTTGGCTTTGGTTTGCTTTAGTCTTGGCATCTTTTTCCTTGTGCCTCTGGTGGGCAACAAGCACATTCATCGGGCACAGGAGCAGACACCTCCCCCAAGCCCTTTACCCTACACTTGCTGGCAAGAGAGACGTGGGCTTGTTTGGGTGATCTTTTTGTTTTGCCGTCAGTTCCGACACAGAGTCGAGATTTCGAGTCACTTCCGGGAGCTTTTAGAATGAGCAGCCCTGGCCTTGCAAATTAGCAGACGAAGGCAGCGTTTAGGCCTGCAGCTAAGCTTAGCACCTTTCACAGAGATCTTAACTCTTGCGTCCGTGCTTAGACATGTCTGAGTCCACCACGAGTTCGAAACACTTAACGATTTGGTTGCCAAGCCTGTTTTGGTGTTCAGGGTTTTAGGGCTTGTGGTTCAGCTGTTGCAGGACGCCGGAAATGCCAATGAACTTCGCGACAAAGTCTCGTTTCACGCACAAACTGCAAAAGCAGTAGCTACGTGCACCTAATTTGCCACGTTCCCTATAGCCGTAGAATCTGCGGTTCACGCCAGGCAAATTTGTATGGGTTGTTGTCAGAAGCAATGTCAGCTGCTTTTTCAACTTACTAGAGACACGCCGATGGCACACTGAGACTCTGAGAGCAGCAAAATCGAAAACCTAGGCTTGCCCTTCAGGATGCCATTGGTTTTGACAACTTCCTGTTGTGCTGCCGGGTAGATTGAGATGTCTGACACTTTCGTCAGTATGGCTGGCAAGCACCCGGGACGAGGTCGATGATGATATTTTCAATCCCACCCCAAGCCCACCAACCCCATGAATCTCCGGACCCCAAGTACTAAGATCCCTAGAACTAGAACCCTGAACTTGAACTGCCTTGAAACCGATACCTAGGACCTAAGAACCCATCAATGCCACAGACCTTCTCAGTTTGGGGGTTTGGCTCTTAGAGGCTTGTTGGCGAAGCACCCCGTAATGAGCACTCGAGCGTGGCTGAGGCTTCAGCGTTTAGGGCTTCTGGGCCCCGGGGATGGTTGCAGAATCTACCGGTGCAAATCTGTAAACCTGCATATGCAACCACAACTTACTTGATTCCAGTTTGGGCACCGCAGGTCGCGTCGAAAAGGAGTGCTTGCCACGTCCCAGTGTAGAGACGCTCCTGCAGAAGGGAGCGGTCGAAAAGCAGACGTTTCAGATACGCTCCTGTTGGGGGCTGAGAGGCCGGAACCCATTCTCCCTAAATCGAATCTCTCGCTTGGAAGTTGGAGTGTGATCCTTCTAGAAGCAAGGATTTCAAAATCTGCAACAGTCGTGCGGGTTGGTTTGTGGGGCGTGCGGGCCTTGTCATTAGGTACTTCAGACGAAATAAGTATTACAGTAGGATTCTGGGAGCTGGGGTTTGATTGAGGGCCAGCACTTGATCAACTATTAACCTATATAAGGCTACTGTATTCTTGAACCTGTATATTATACGTAGTACGAATGCATGCATTGCGCATCTTCTGGCTTCTCTCGTTGAAACGAGAAAAGGCTTAGCTGAGCGGTTCGCGTTCACGCACATTCGAAGGCCTGCCGAAAGGCTCGTTGTTCTTCGCGGAGCCCTTGCAATTGTTTTTTTCATCAGGAAGGTGTCGAGTCGAACCCAAGAGGCCGGCTTCTTCATGCATGGTTGCCAAGGTTCCTCGAGGAATGATGGGCTCCATGCAAGGGGCAGAGCTTAGTGACAGCACCTGAGACTGGACAAAGTTGCTCCAGTCTCGCAATACAGTCACAAATGCAGGCTACCCTGCCGGCTTTGGTGCTTTCTGATGCTTTCTGTATATGTTTGGGGTTGAGGGTTGAGGCCCTAAGCCAAGGCCAGAAACCGTCTGATTCGGGGTCCATTGTTAGGGCTGTTAGGGCTGCGCAGTCTGGGCATTCCAGACCCAAAGACTGGAGTCAGCCATGCTTATCCCAAGCAGCTTCACATTCTGCAGACGTAATTACTACTGATTAGAGCCTAAATGTCTTTGACGGGTTCCCAACCCTATACCTGTTTCTTGACGGACGGCATTGCAGTTAGCGGCGAGCACGAGCCACTAGGTGAGAGTAGTTCAAATTCCTGCATGTCGCGCCCTCAATTTTGAGGGCTTGGGAACTACTAGGCTGCGTCTTGGCTTCAGGGTGATTAGGAGATCTGACAACTGCTGCGATTCATCCTTATTCATCCGTCATGTTTTGCTGATTATGAGGGGGGTCACGGAATTATCATAGTCGTTTCCCTCGAGTGCTTTCTAGTAACTGCCATCGTGTTCGCTTCGTCTGCCTATCACTCCTACCCCAAAGCAATGCTACAGGGGTGCAGCTGCGGACGCCTGTTCCAAAGCATGTGCTCCGAGTCGGGTCGCCTCGGCTATGTGCTTATGGGCCATGGGGTTATACCGGTCATGGGACAGGGCTGAGGGTGTTGAGTCTGGGGTGTACTATGCGGGCTTCTTTCGGGGCAGAAGCTGTACTCGTCAAAAACCGACATGTGAAGTCATAGACCGTTTCACTTAAGCTCAAGAGTTAAGGCTTCGAGTTTATATGAAAGTTTCAGACAGATCTGGTGCTTGAATTTGCACCCTAAGTCGTAGGATCTTCATGGTTAGGATTGCTCAACAAGGTACGCCACCTGTTAAGAGGGCTCCCTCTTGGCTTGCAGGGACACTCGCGAGCCTGGCTTTCTGCCAGGCCACCAAATCATAGTGAACCTAATGCTGGCATCCGTCAAGTCCATTGCTTCAAAACAAGATTAACGACAGCAATATTATCTTCTAGTAAGCATGCTACTATTGCTACTACTACGAGCTACTTGCTTTCTTTCTTTCTTACTTACGTACTTAGTTACTCACTTACTTACTTACTTACTTACTTACTTACTTACTTACTTACTTACTTACTTACTTACTTACTTACTTACTTACTTACTTACCGACTTACTTACTTACTTACTTACTTACTTACGTACTTGCGTACTTACTTACTTACTCAAATACTAGTACTACTAGTACTACTACTAGTACTACTGCTGCTGCTGCTGCTGCTACTACTACTACTACTACTACTACTCCTACTCCTACTACTACTACTACTACTACTACTACTACTGCTAGTACTACTACCACCACCACCACCACCACCACCACCACCACCACCACCACTACTACTACTGCTGCTTCGGCTACTACTACTACTACTACTACTACTACTTCTACTACTACTACTTCTACTAATACTACTGCTGCTTCGGCTACTACTACTACTACTACTACTACTACTGCGACGCAAGATGGCTTTAAACGGGTTCCCGACGGGTTGTAGCCAGGTTTAGAGAAGCGAAGCATTATGAGGTTTATTCCGCAGATTCAGCTCGTCCAGAACATAAAGCCCTCAAACAGCTTAATAGAGGGCGCTTGGTACTGAGGCTGGGGTTTGCCAAGGGGGGCCAAGGGGGTATATCCAAGTACAAATGTGTACGTAAACCTTGATGCCCGAAGCTTGCAAAGGTAACAGGTTAAGACTTGAAAGAAGCTCAGCAAGAAGTGCCAGGTTCTCCACAGCAAGATCAACGCCCATCATGGGTGACAATGAGGAGCCGAAACATTTGGCATTTAGGTCTCGGTGTCGGGCTAAGGGTGTAGCGCAGTCTCAGAGAGTTCGGACATCGAGTTAGATGAAGATGGGCAACCTTTTTTTTTTGCAGTGCCTTTTGTGCAGTCCTTGTAATGTTTCAGAGACGCCACTGCCCTGCATGATGAACCGGTCCCCTACATGAGTTACATTAGCCCGCTTAAGACTTTGCAACCGGCCATGTAGAATTTCTGGATTCTTGATGCTGTGGCCCAACCCACGAGTGTAAGAGATGTACCTAGGCCCCGAAACGACGTTCTGGCAGCAGGGAGCTACTCCATACAAAGCTTGTCTAGGTTTTGGTTTTTGTATTTTCCTCATCTCACCCTTAAAAAACCTTGTAACGCCTATGCCCTTCAAGATCCTATTGAAGTAGGTAGGGATTTAGGAATCGATGCTTGGAAGCAGCGGACTCTTTGCAGGTGCGAACAGGCTAGGCATCCGCGGTTGGCATCCTTCACATTGCTCTTGGGGTTTAGGGTTGAGCTTCTGGCTTTAGTTTGTGGCGTTAGGGTTTTGGCTTTTAATTTGGGGTTTACAGGCACAACAAGCCTTCCCGCTCCCCTCTTGCCATTCCCACATTGGCTGGCTTTGACACCTACCCCGAAACCTTATAATTTGTTGTTATTCGACTTATTTGAACCTCTACATCGCCTAAGGCCGTTTCTGCGGGCCCCCTGTGGCGGGATTGGGCTGTCTACTCTTTTTGTCACATAGTGATCGACATGTTTCAGGAACCCGAGACCCTCTGTTGCAAGTTGCAGTATAGATCTGACCTGGTTTGCATCCCATGTTGTTTGATGCGCCCGCATCCTGAACTCGAGACTGACATCCTCTCTGGCTGGACAGGAAAGCATTTGTTTCGACTCCGACGGTGGCCTGCTCTTCAATAGGACTGCTGGGCACTGCTCATGTAGAGGTTCGCAGTACCTTGCACGCGAGGGATTTTCCAAAAAGATCCGACCCGGAAAACGCCCGTAAGGCAGTTCTAGGAATCTGAATGTATGAATCGTGAAGCTTGAGAGTTTTGTCCTTTTTTTGGTCATGGGGTTCTTAGGGGAGTGCGCTTTCAAAATCCGTGTTTAGATTCGAGGTAGGCTAAAGCCCGAAATTGAAGTTTTCTGATGCCAGCATTTTTCTCGAGCTCCTCCATTCATACCTTTCCGCTGAGCCCTCCGATCCCTATAGACCCTGATCCTTCAACCAAGACCTTAGGCTACCACAGCCGTTTTCTTGGCACTTAGCTCTTACTATCATGAAGGAGACATTAAAAACATTAAAAACAAGTCAGTAGCTATGGTAGTTTCGGGCAGGCTCTGACCCATCCCAGGAGCGTGACATTCCACCGCTGAATGATCGCTCATCATATGGGAGTTTCCGAAAACAAGGGGTACCTTATTCTAGGGTCCTTATATAATGTTATTAGGATCCTACTGTTTAGGGTGCTATATTAGGGTCCCCTATTTTCGGAAACCCCTATATGGCATTTGCTCGCGGCGTTGTGTTTGCATCAATGGTATTATACCATTGGCCTAAGCGCAACAACATCCGAAGGTGTAGGGCTAGGACCTTTTGTGCTGATCCCGTGCAGGAAGCGCATCCCACTCTTAGATGCAAAGTATGGGCCAGAAAGCACCGTGGCTGTTGCCGGAGCCTTAACCAAACGATCGGGATTGGGGATGTAAGAGTAGGGTTTCGAAAAATGTGCACGGAGTGGCCTTTGGAGTCTTGAGTAAAGTTGGATGATCCGGCACATTTGTTGAGGGGTTGCTGTTTCTACTAAGTGCTCGTGCTGTGCAGCTGGGTCTTTGAGGTGAGCAGCACTGAGCTGCGATCTCCAACGGTTGCGGCTCGAGTCT